GATAGTGTGGCAGTTGTATGCCACAAAACTTGTAGTTAGGAAGTGGCTCTTCCACAAGTGGCCTAATATGAAACTGTATTTATGAAACTGAGCCTTGAGGATAAGCTGCTGCTGGTACTGTACCGTATACTGTACCATACTTCCAGATGCACAGCAGCATCCCTAGCTCCATTCAGTTGCCCAGATCCCACCCGAAGCAAGGGATTATAGCAGAGTTCCCCAACCTTTCGGGGTTGGCGGCCCGGAGCAGGGGAGGGGGGAAAGGCATGGTTTTGTGGGGAGGGGAACACATGCATGCATGTATGCGCACCACACGAACACCTGTTGCTTGCGTGAGTGAGGCCGTGAGTGCTTGGGCGAGTAGGACCGCAAATGCCCACGATGCTCACACGAGTGGGGCCGCGAATGCCTGCAACGCTCACAGAGACACTTACATGAGTGGGGTTGCAAATGCGCGTGACACTCACAAGAGCTGAGCCACGAACACCCATGGTGCTCGCGGTGATGCTCACACAAGTGGGGCTGCGAAGGTCTGTGACGCTCGCGTGAGTGGGGCCACAACTCCTGCAATGCTCGCTCAAGTGAGGCCACAAACACTTGTGACGCTCACAAGAGTGGGGCCACAAACACCCACAACACTCACATGCACTGGCCAGCCATTCATGCAGCCCGGTGGCCAATAATTTGGGGACCCCTGGATTACAGAGTTGTAAAAGAAAAATAGTCTGTTACTATTATTGCATGGCTTACTATATACAAAAGAGAGATTTTTTTGTACATTGTTTCCAAGCAATTTATACATTTATAAACAAAGAATGTAAAATATAGTTAACAGTAAAATATTTTGAGAACAATTTTTGTTTACTTTTATGTGACATGATTTAATGAGGGCATACTTTTTCATTTTAATTTAGTTTATGTGCTGTTTCCATTACAGAACAAGACATTTGGGAATAAAAAGGAATCAAGATCACAAAAGAATGCTCTAAGAACTATTATTAATCTATAGAAGTAGCAATAGTATGGAACATTAACCCTCTTTGAAGAGTCCCAAGAAGAGACGGAGAACCCTATCAAACCAAAAGGACAGATTATCTCCCAGCCACCAAATGCCATAGTAGTTGAACTCTGCATTTTCCCCAAACTTGTGTCCAGAATCCCTAATGGGATATAGAAGAACTCCTTTTTTCAAAATGTATTGAAGGACAAAGGGACCTTGCTTTGAGGAATTAGCTCTCCGAGAGGCAGATTTGGGAAGGAAACAGGAAATCCTTATGGGCAGCATCTTACTTAGAAGTTTAAAGTATCTCATTTTTGGATTGTAGAAAGAACATAAATTGTAATCTGCAAAGTAAAGCTAAAGGGTTTGATTCTCCTAAGTTTTAGCTCAATATTGATTTAACAAAGGATTAGAGGTATTTCACTTGGAACCAAGGAAACACTTTAACAAACTGCTGCATTCCAGTGTTTTTGATAATTTCTGGTTTTTTTCATATTTGATTTCTGATTTTAAAAATTTTAACATTTAAAAAAACAGACTAGGAAAGTGTTTTTTTATTTTTTGATAGTTTGCCTTTAATTAAATGCATCAATGATGCATTCATGCTCAGATAAATAAGGGAAAGGGCAAACTTTAGAAATAGAGGTCCTGATTTTGACTTTGGGGCAGAGGAAGCTTGATTTTACCGAAGGGCTATGAGAAGAAGCTACAACAGCAAAAAGTGATAAAGATCTATTATTGTCAGTCGCAGTCAGCCAGAAGTTGTAAAATGTTCCTGTATGTAGCTTACAGCTTATATATGGGTTACAAAGATGACTGAATAGATTATCAAACGATAAAGCTCTTCACTACAGCTCTAATTTTATTTTAAATATTATGATGGATTTTCCATAGCTGATCTCTAGAGATTGCCCAGAAACTTCTACCTATTTATCAAGAGATAAGTTATCATCTCTTAATATAATTTCATATTCATCACAGTAATTTGATACTAGGCTCATTCTCCAGTTTCTATTTGCTGTCCTACTTTGGATGATAGTATAATAATAATAACTCCAGCGTCAAAATCAAAGCATGCTTATGTCCTAGAGCTGGGTATATGTGTTGTGCGTGTGATGAGTGAGGAAGCCTCCCCATCCACCCAAGCTGGTCAGCTGTAGACATATGAGGAATGAAACTGCAATGCTAAGAATCTGTTGCTGGCCCAATCCATCATCAGTGACACAAAGCAAGTGATCTGAATGAACAGCTACAGTGGAAGACTATATACTGAGAAATCAGTTCTTGCCTTCTGAAGTGAGGTACTGTGCAATGAAGCAAACAAAGGACTCCTATGCTGTTATAAAACAGCAATGTAAGTTCCGTTCTGAAGTCAGGTAATAATCTTTTATTCCTTCTACTTTCCCACAGAGATAAGGAAGAATTACATATAGTCAGAATTAGATGCCTGTACCAGAAATGCTTTTGTTCTTAACTTCTCCTGCCATTTTTAAATAGTTTCCTGCATGAGGAAAATTTCATCCTAAAGGGGGAAAACATTTTTACAACATATTCAAATGACGATTACCTTTATTTACTGAGATTTTGTTATCTCACCTTTATTTGTATGACTAAAGACAACATACATAATACTCCCTCCCCATATTTTCCTCACAACTGTATGTATGTAGTTGGGCTGAGAGCGAATGACTGGCTCAGACATCCACCTGGCTTCTGTGTCTGAGGGAGAACCAGAGCTCACTTTTCCAGTTTCTAGATTTGTATCCTGCCTTTCTTTTCAGAAGCTCAAGGTAGCGTACCGAATACTCTCCCCTTCTCTTTGTAACAAATGACACATTTTTAAAACCGGTATGGCTTCTCTGTTGCTGCACCTGTCCTTTGCAACAGCCTTCAGTGTAAAATCCAGATGGCCCCAAAACTATTAGCCTTCTGTAAGGCTGTAAAGACTTGACTTTTCATTTAGATGTTAGGGCCAGAATATTAATGAAGCTCAATATGTGCATTTTGGTACTGGGAATTCTTGTGAGGTCCCTTGATTATTGTATTATCATTATTATCATTTCTAATTGAATTTTTCTTCATTTTATATTGGTTTAATTTTTAAAAAATGAACTATATCAACCATCCAGAGCTACTAGTATAAAATAGGCAACCATGTAGATTATCTAAACCCCAAAATATTGTGCTGAGAAGTGAATGATCCGTTCACATGGTTTCTAGAGCTGAGAGAGACCATCCCAAGTATTTTCAGTCTTAAATACTTAACGACTAACAACTAAAGTGTAATTAAATTTATATCTACTAATGTTCCAGTTATTTGTGGAATTCATTAAGCCCTGAATTTCCGTTAAGTGTAAATTCACCAGGACTAAGCAACTTTGCACCAGTTTAACAGTACCATAGAATATGACAATGAATCTAAATGACAAAAAAATCTAATTCAGATTTCACCTCTGCCATGAATTTATTATGGGACCTTTGACATACCAATGACTCTTAATGCTGTCAATTACAATACTGTACTGGGAAATAACTATTGAACCAAGATTCTTGAAAGGCTTATAAATCAAAGTAACATATCAGTACTAAATACGTCTAGGATTTTTTTAAATACAAAAACCCGGAGCATCTCCTTAACTGTAATCCTCTGCTTCTCCTCTACGTGCATTTAAAAGTGATTTCTATACACTACCTCATAGAGTCATTGTACAAATAAAAGTCAAGCAGCAGTTAAAGAATAAGGCGTGCAAGATTTAGAGCAAGGCTTTTCAACCAGTGGTACGGGTACCACCTGTGGTACATTGGCACCTGGCAGGTGGTACGCGACCATCCTAGAAAAGTGGTAGTGAGGGAGGGGAATGAGCTGAACTGGTGGCAGCACCACACAAGCCTGAGCGAGAGACGGCTGCAGCTGCAGGGCTGTCAGGGCTCAGTGGAAGCACCAGGATCAGCGCTTCTTCGGGACTGTCAGGGCTCAGTGGAAGCGCCAAGATCAGTGCCAGGCTCCAGCTGGAGCTCGGCACTGATCCTGGCATTTCCGAGCCCAGAAGAAGCACCGATCAGCTGGAATGTTGCAGCATCTCCAGGGTCTTATGATTTACATTCAGATGCTTGGCAACTGATTCATATTTATGACGGTCACAATGTCCCAGGGTCATGTGAAATGACCAAAACCTGCTGCAACCACCCAGATGGGGGGAATAAAAACCAAACACCCCCACACACCACCCCCGCTGCCAATCCTCAACAGAAATGCTCACAACAATGAAAACCTCGGACAGGAGGAGGAGCACCGCCGGGCGGGCAGGCAGGTGTCTTGCTCGGCTGTGCCTTGGGGGGCACTTTTTTCAGTGCCATTGTAACTTCGAACAGTCACTAAGCAAACTGTTGTAAGTGGAGGACTACCTGTACTTTATCACTTTTTTGGGGGGGGGTCATCAAGTTTTTGACACCTTGCTAGGCGATTGGTGGTACTCGGATGTTGCCATATCCTAAAAGTGGTACGATGGGTGAAAAGGTTGAAAAGCCTTGATTTAGAGAGCGGAAGCCCTCTTGATTTTCCTCCTGAATATCGTGCTATCCGAGAAAAAACAAGTGTGAATGAGTGAAAGAATGAAATACAGAATATAAAACAGAAGCCACCAAATGCACAGGAACCTCTTCCGTCTCCCGTCCAGGATTTTTTCAGACGCGAGCGCATGCGCAGAGTAAGGCGGCAGCGGCGCCGGAGGCGGGGGGGGGGCAGAGCAAGGCGGTTGCTGTTACCCAGCATGCTCGGCGTACCCCCTCCCCTTGGGTGGGTGAGTGAATCTGGCCGGTGGATGATGGAGCGGAGGCTGTAATGGCGGCCGGCGGCAACCGCGATAGAGGCGGCTCGGGTGTAGCTGGACTCTGACACCCGGCTACTCCTCTACGCCGCTGGGACTTCCTCCCTGGGCCGGACACTCCCCCTCCCCGAGAGCACCGCTGAGGACTCGGCCGGACACACTAGGCGGGAAGAGGAAGAGGGGAGGACTCCTCAACAGACAATGGACGAACATCCCGGCGCCGGAGGGGGGATCATGGCGGGGGCTACCCCGCGACCTCAACAGCAGCCACTGCCGCCCATTGGAGGCAACGTTAATTCCCAGCTGCTCAACCAGGGCTGCGTGGGGTCTAACAGCGGCGGCGGCGGCGGGAGTCTCCCGTCCCAGCAGCAGTCTCAAGGTCCAGCGGCGGCTCAGGAAGCGGCGGGGCCCGGGAGCGGTTCGGAGCTGTCCCGGCCCCAGCACTACACTATCCCGGGAATCCTGCACTACATCCAGCACGAGTGGGCCCGCTTCGAGATGGAGCGCGCTCACTGGGAGGTGGAAAGGGCCGAGCTTCAGGTAGGATGAAGCCGGGTTCCGGGCGGGCGAGAGGGACACAATGAGAAAGTGGCTGAGTTGAGCCCGGGGCCGTCTTAAGGCGACGACGGGGACTTTGCCGATACGGGGAAAGGTGGGCGCGGAGGAGAAGGTACCTGCGTGTGGCGGGTCCGGCGAGGCGTGGCGCGGTGCGGCGGGCGTCACTCGGCACGTCCCCCTCGGTGCTCTTCGGGTTGGGCTGCTTTCCCCGGGGCAGCCATTTTGGTTTCTAGCATGGCGCCCGCCTGGCTCGGGCCTGTCAAGAGAGTTGGGAGAGGAGGGCTCCCGTCTTCTCCTCGCCCGGTCGGTCCCAGATATGACACCCTGGCTCTGCCGGCGTGGGACTGCGCCTTGACAGTTATTCTCGCGCTGGGTCCGTCCCTGCTTTTGCCAGAGCTGCAGGAATGTCGAAGCCGGCTGGACACCTCGGGGAGTTTTCGCGGCCTAAGAAAAAGAGTCATATAAACGCAACGATCCGGTCACACGCGTATTGACAGTCCTATGTTGTGAATGTAAATCACGCACACGCTCCGGCATGTTACCCTGCTCCTTTTCAGAAATAGGAGGTGTGTCCCTTCATTCTTAGCTCAAAACACCCCCAAAAAGAGATGGAGATGAAGGCACGCCGGGATTGATGACGTTAACAGGATTATCTCTTTAATCCTCTACACCCGTTACATTATTTCGGCGATCTGTGTTTAAAAATATAGGCCGCTTATGTATATTGTGATTGTAGCAAACACAGTCATACTTATCAATGAACCAAAATTGGGAATTGTGTACTGTATACCAACCTGGTTTTACTGCATTCTACTGAGATGACTGGGCATTTAAGTTAAGTGCATAAATATAAAGATGTTATTAAGGTTAAAAGGTATATTTCAAAATAAACAACATAATTAGACTTGCTCAATAAGAGCATATCCTCATGTTAAATTTAGATATGTGTCATGATTGATAGCGATTATTGTAAGTAATGATACTACATACTGAGTCAAAAGCAAAAAAATGTGAGGTATGTGGTTAGTTCTCAAAATAAAATGTTGCAATGTAGATAGAAGATACAACTCTTTGAAGGTGTATGTCCTGACTTGTTTAAGGTTATGCAGTCTTTTACTTTCAATTTCTCATTCTAAGGGAAAAGGGGCAAATAGCTATTGACCTTACAGAATTCTTACAAGAGCAAATGCTGAATTTTGCAAAATGAATGCTGATAAAAAGCATAATCAAATAGTTTATACAACAGCACTTACAGAGGTATGCTGCATAAATCTGAACAATTCTTTTGGCTGATTTCTTTTATTTATTTACAACAGCTTGCATGCAGCTCAGTGCCAAATTGCTTTGAGCAACTTACATCAAGCAACAAGATTTTAAAAAATATATAATAATTTAAACAGCAAATATCCTGTAACTTCAGCATTCAGGTCAATACTTATTGTCCTTGAATGCTATTTTCAGAAGCCTGACAAAGAAAGGGTGTTCAAGATACCCAGGGAAGAGTTATTCCACGGAAAAGGGACTATCACTGAAAAGATTTCATCACAGGGTCTCGAAGTGGTATTCCCTGAGAGAAGGGACCCTAACAGGCCTTCTTTCTCCATTCTAATTAAACAAGCTGACTCAGCCCAGGTACTACTGGACAAGCTAATTCAGCCTAGGGCAAAGTTAGCAAGGTTCTGAGACATGTAGGCTTGTGTGACAGTCAGCACCTGAATCACACTTGGAAGTATACTGGCAGCCATAATAGTAATGTAGTGTCACATGGACAAATCTGGGTATGCTTGTAACTGCTGGATTACTATGTGCTGAACCAATTGAAGCTACTGTATGGTCTTCAAGGGCAGCTCCATGTAAAGTGAAGTTCAAAAATCCAGCCACAAGGTGACAAGAGCATACATAAGTAATCCTGGTCATTGCCTGCTGCTTCATGAATGGTCAAAATTATTGACACTGTACACCAGATGTAATTATATGAAGACAAACTCCATGTGCTGTTCAAGCAGAAGTTATGAGAACAGGAGGACTCAAATTTGTTATTTAAGAAAGAATTCCATTTTTTGTGGACTTTGGTGATCATGTATCTCTTAGATCAAAGAGAAGTAGAGAACTTTTTTTAACTTATAAAAATAGTAAGTAATATAAGACTCTTTATGTGAGGTAAATTGAATCAAATTCCAGAAATGAAATAACTTGCTTCTTTGTCAGCTATCAGGCCTAATCATTTGAAAACTAGAAATAGAATTTTCAGTTCTAGTGAGTTGAAGTTGTTGTAAATGGAGTACTAGATCATGCTCTTCTATATAGTATTATATTAATCATGCTGTTTAATGTTATTTTCCATGCAAGAGGGCTTAACAATTCTGTGAGTTTCAGAGATACAATATGGTGAAAATATGAGTCGTCCCCCGCCCCAAATGTATTGCTAATTAGTTGCAATTGTAGAAAAAATATGGCAGCATAATGTTTACGGCAGTTTTAATGTTTTGTGAACTGGTACAGCTGAAGATCCAAAATATCAGTGCCATAGCTTGCTGTAATGTTGATGGTGCTGATCTCATAATCGGATGTTTTTGCCAGACTGGTGGGGCTCTTGGCTAAACTTTTTTGACTTAGTAGAACACATTACTACTGGAATGCACCTTGGCCAAGCCCTATTTTCACAAACAGATGTAACCAGAAGGTTAGGATTAAGCCCATTCTTACAATTAATATTACAAGATTGAAGCATGCTTCCAGTTCTATTTTTTATACAACAGCAAGATTTAGCTTTTGTCATCTTGCTTTCTTTAATTAGTTATAGCCTCCAGATTTGACTTTGATGTAGCCATATTTTTGCAACCAAACCATAAGTTCTTACTTTGCTATATAATAATCTTTTTATTTAACCAAATATTGTTTTGGTTGAATAGTTTTCACTTCTTTAAGGATTTTTCTTCCTCCAGTTTCATTTTGCATATGCTTGTGTGAAGACTGCTGTTACATTATTTGTGGTTTACCGGACTAGTAATAGTACTATTACCTACAAGTCATTTCAACATTATGTCATTATTATAATAAGCACAATCTTTTAAAGAATTGCCAGCATTCATAAAGATTTTACTTGCTTGGCAGAATTTGTTATAGGATGGAATAAAATCCATCCCTTTGCAAGGCAACTGATGGCCACCTGAGGCCTTCTCCCCAAGATTGCATTTGGCGGTTTCCTCATGAGACCTCTGAAAAAAAGACCTCACATGGCCAACAGTTGCCTCACAAAGAGCCAGGGTAGGCATGCCTTGTCAGCAAAAGATTCAAGAACTTGACCAAGGTCAACTGAGACAGTGGGTAGCAGGGCTGTGGAGTGCAGGGTAGCGAAGATAGCTGGGCTTTACACCGTGTAGATGGGATGGAATGGTTGGGGCTCTGCATTGCTGGGCTTGGCTGTGTCTTTGTATCGCACTGCTGAGCTGAGATGTCTAGAGCTTCCTGGAATGGTGGGGCTTTGCACTATTGGGCAGGGATAACTGGGGCTTTGCACTGTTGGGCTGGACTGGAGTGGTTGTAGCTTTTTGTCACTCTACTGGGCTGGGGAAGTCATGGCATCATGCTGCTGGGTTGCAGCTTCATGCAGTGCTATTGGGCTGGGGTGGGGCAACTCTGGCATCATGCCAGACTGTGTCTCAGAAGCGTCTTGCAATCCCAGAGCTGTGGCATTCTAGGAAGCCTTTAAACAGCAACGTAACAAACAACTGCACAGTTCTGGGTTTGCTCCACAAGGCAGGGTGCAGGGCATCAAAAAGAGCAGAGGTGGGGGGAGAATAGGTGGTTGGGGAGAGTTGAAGGGGAGGCAGTGGAAGAACTGAGGTTTGAGGTGAGTCTTTGGCTAATGACTGGTCGGATTTGGTTAACAATGGCAACTAGGAATGCTGGGATTACCATCACTAAGTGATGCAGTCATGTGATGTCATGCTTTATAACTTCATTACTTAGCAATAGAAATTCCAATCCCAGTTTCCATAGTACGTCAAGGACTACCTGCAGATTAAGTCATCAAAATATAGAAATATTATAATTTATGTGTATCTGTGGTACGTTGTGAAAGATAGAATTAGACAGTTTCAAGCCAATGCTTCCCTGCAGCCATTGCTACATTATATAATGTGAAGGTAAACAATCTGGTGCCTTCCGATGTTTTGAACTAAGAATTTCGTAATGTCTTAGTTGAAGAAGAAAAATCTATCAATCCATTCATTCAAAACTAAATGGTGAGGATGCAGAGCCACACAACAGGAAGGAGCACCCAACCTCCCTATTTGGAAAGAGGAACTTTTCTCAAACTGATTAATTAGCAAGGTGGAGACTTCCATTGCATAAGATTAGATCTAGCATATGTTCCACTTGGTTTGCTGATATCAGGAAAAGCTCATGGTGATATTTCAGAAACACGGAGTATTGAAGTTGTTGAACTCCTAGTGTGAAAATGGCTGATTCATTTTTTATCATTTTTGAGCTAAACATTATACAAATGTTGACTGAAAAAAAGAATGGAAATTTCAGTTTCCATTTTTGAAAACAGTTTTTATATATGTTCTATTTTTGTGAATTATGAAAACTAATTAAAAGATACAGATGCATACAACAGTATTAAAGGATGAACTTCAAAATTAATAAGCATACTCCTCTCGCCCCAAAGGAAAGAAAATCCTTGGAAACTTTGCAGTTTAAGGTTGATAAACAATACATAAAACAACCCTTTGCTGGAAATCAGTTGTAGGTTTGTCTTTAGTATTCTTTTGATCACTTCCCGTGCCCCAAAAGTTCATAATTCCTGATAGAGTCAGTATACAGGTAGTCCTTGACTTGCAACAGTTCATTTAGTGACCATTCGAAGTTACAATGAACTGAAAAAAGTGACTTTTGACCATTTTTCACACTTATGACTGTTGCAGCATTCCCATGGTCATGTGATCAAAATGTTGGGCTCAATTGTTGTCGTAAGT